GGTAGGCCGCCCGTGCCTGGTGTCCAAGGAGGGCAGGGTGCTGGAGTGGAGCAGGGTCAGGCCCAGGGAAGGGCTTGGGGGACTGAGCAGGCGGAAGAGCCCATGCTGTGGGGTGGCGGCCAGCCAGGCCCAGGGAGCTGGGGCCTGAAGAGGGCTGAGGCCAGGTCCATTGGGTCAAGCAGCCCACCAAAAGTATGGGGGGATCTGTTTGGAAGCCGATTCCCTGAGAGGAGCTTCCAGCCCTGCGGCAGGGGTGCCTGAACTGTCTTCTGTCCCTGATCTCTAGGAAACCTCGGGGAGAGTGTTTAAGGACAGTGACATCCACTGTCTCCCCCGGTGACTCTCGGTGGACACCAGGCACTCCTGAGTGGGCCTTGGGCTCTTTTGAGAGGATTCGGTTCATGAAACTGGTGTGAGGCCAGCTGCCCACGGCCGTGCTCCATGGAGGGCGCTTCCTGGCCCATGCTGGGTGGTCGTGGTCATCTGGGCTGTAGCAGGCAGCTGGCGCCGTTTGTCCCTGGCAAGGAGTTGGCTGGCTCTGGCCGATGGCTGCGGGGAGAAGCTTTGGTTTCCCGATTCAGCAGGGAGTCAGCGGGGCCCTCGGAGCCCTGGGGAAGCCCGTCCCCACAGGGGAGGGGTGGGCTCCCTGTGCTCGGAGCCTGCACTGGGACTGTTCGGAGAGCCAAGCAGCAGCCCTGTCCCAGAACCATGGTGCGCTCTGCGGTTTCCAGGCACATACGGGCCTCTCATCTAGTGACAGGCCTGGATGGCATCCGTGCGGGGCGACTCCCCACTTTACAGAGGGGAGCTTGAGGCTCACCCGTGATCACGTGGCTGGGACCCCAAGTTTGGCATCTGTCCACCATCCCACCTGGGCCCCTTGCACTGAGTTAGTTCCAGCCATTTACTGTGCAGGCCCCTGGGGGGCGCAGCTCGGCCCTCTTCAGAAGCTCCAGCTGGAGCTCAGGTCCCAGGTCCTCTGTCCGCTGGGTCTCAGCAGGCCCTGGACCCAGGCGTGGCCAGCAGGGCAGGCCTGCACCCTTTGCCTGGCGTTTCGATCGGGAGGCAGTGTGCTGTCCCACCAGATCAGCCAAGTTACTGGCTCTTCCCCACCATCCCTACGTGGCGTTTATGTGGCATTCACAGAGACAGCGTCTGGAGTGTCTTTTGCTGCTGGTCAGAGCACCTATGTCCTGCAAGTCCAGCTCCCATAATCCCAGAGCTGCCGGTCACTGGGAAGGCCCGCCGCTCACTGTGAGGAGCCACCCTACACGGCGGGCGGGTGGGGAGGGCTGCCCCAGAAAGGAAACGCCTGCTTTGCTCTCGGGTCTCTGGGCCCCGGGCCAGTTTGGAGCCTAGCGGGCAGCGGCCAGGGCATCTCCGTGCAGGGCTGCAGGGCGGAGTGGGTGGTGGGTGCTCAGGCTTCTCCTTCAGTCACCTGCTGTCCACCAGCTGTGGCCAGTTCCCTGTGCTTGGGGGCAGGGTCTGCAGCGGCCTCGGTCCCACCCTCCCTGGGCTCCTGGTGACCTGAAGAATCCTGACGTCGATGCATCGCTGGCCCTGAGGTGTGGGGGATAATAGCCAGGCGCCCACACTGTGCCCAAATGGCCATCGGCCATCAGTTACCACTGATACCTGCCATGGAGCCAAGAAGAGGGCCTGCAGCTTTGGGCTTTACGAAAAGTGGGTTGTTTGTGGCTAGTCACTCGGGCTTCATGCGAGAGGCTCACCCCCCTTGGGGGGTTGCCAAGCCTCTGAGGGGGACTGTCGAGCACTGGTGACTCTTATAATGAGGCCTCCTTGGACCACCCACTGCTTCTCCAGAGCCAGAGCGGCTGCCTCAGGCTGGTGGGCCGGGGACAGGGCATGAGAGTGAGTGTGGAAGGCGGGTTGTCCTGGGTTTGGTGTGTCCCCAGAGCCTGGCACGCCAGACCGCACTCTCTTCTGGAGTAAATGGTTCCAGATGCACCCTGTCCCCCACCAGGCAGGAGGCCTTTGACAGACCTGCCACTTGTCATGGAGCAGGGCCCTGGTACTGTCTCTAGGGAACATTTCTCCGTTGGGTGGGTCGACCGGCGGGAGGCCCTGGCATGGTGTCTAAACCCTGACCCCGCCACCCCGGTGGCACTGGGGTGCCCTGAGCTCCCTGAGCCCCCTCCCTGACCTAGTCCCCTGCCCCCCGCTGCTCTTGTGCCAGCTTCGACTCGGGAAGTGGGTGGCGGGCAGCGTTCACCCAGTGCCGGCTGCCGAGGAGCCAGAGCCGTGTGCCCGGGCAGCCGGCCCGGGAGTGGCCCTTACGGGGAGGGGAGATCAGGCCGTGGCGACACGGATTCAGGGCGCTGCCTCTCAGGGCCGTCCTGCTGTGGGGGACGCCCAGAGTGGGGGACGTCACAGTGCTCTGGCCGCTTCCGCCCCACTCCTCTGCTGGTGCGAGCCAGCGTGTGGGCCAGCACAGCCCGTCCCTCGGGAGCGCGGGCCCTGGCTCCCAGCCATGGATGCACAACCTGGAGTGCCTGCAGGGTACACAGAGCTAGGCCAGGTCTCCTGCCACCCCGAGTGTGACAAGGATTCACTTCTCACGTTCACTCGGTGGTATAATCGTAGTGGCTGTCCTGATGGTTAAAGAAATATTCCGGAAGTCTGTGGAGAAGAAATTAGTCGTCCATCTATTGCTGTCCTCCCCAGAGATCACCCCCGCGCTCTCTCCAGAGCCTCTGCCCACGTCCCTCCCCTGGGTCTGCATGCGAGTGTCTGTCCCTCCACACGTGGTTAGGGACAGTCGCATTCTGTGGGTGACTGAGGTTCTTTCTGCCGCCGCTGCGCGGCTGCCGCCTGTTCCTTTCCTGCCGGAGTCGGCTATGGCTCCCCCGCTCTGCTCTCCACACGCCCAGTGTGGGTGAACACCGAGGGTGCCGGCCCCTCCCACACCGCCTCACGTGTAGACAGTGCTCAGACGTGAATGTCGTCCTACAGGAAGCCCTCGCTGTCCCCCAAGTGTGCTTGGGCCCTGTCCCCACACCCAGGCACGTCCACGCATCATCCGGGCTGGGGTCTGCGGGCTCCTTGCATTTGTGTGGCCTCTGCTGAGTTCCGTGTCACGGTGGGCGTGTTTCCTGGGCCAGCACTGGTTCCTTGCAGGTGGCCTCACGGTGCCGGGAGGAGGGGCTGGGTTTTGGACTGGTAGTGATGTTTGTGGCAGTTCTGACTTGGCGAGGTCACGGTTATCTTAGGTCCACTGATTCTCCTCACCAGGCCCGTGGCGGTGGGGTCTTCCTGAGACGCTGTGATGCAGCTGGTTGCCACTCCCCTGTGGTCTGCCTGGGTCCCACTCACCCACTCAGCAGCCACCTTCTGCGTCAAGGACTCTAATGGAGCACGTTGTCTCATGGGGGGCCCTGCTGTGAAGAATACACTGACCGGAGACTCGGGGTGCTTCAGGAGGACAAGCAAGGGGGTGGCCCAGGTGGGGAGGTCAGGGGAGGCTTCCCTATGGAGGTGACCAAGCAGTGAGCTTCGAGGTCAAGGGAAGAGGTGGCAAGTCTCCTGGGCCCAGGGGGACAAGGCGTGGAACGGTCCCGTGGCTGGGGAGCCAACAGAGCCAGATCTTGGAGAGCAAGGATGCCAGGGTGGCTTGCAGGGCTTGGGCTGCAGCAGTGGGCAACGGGGAGGAGCTGTGGACAGCGCGGAGCTGGTGAGTGGGTACAATGGCAGGACCTGGAGTCGCAGGGGACGCGGGGCTCCCTCCGTGCAGAGGCCTCACAGGCCCGACCTGATAATGCCCCACGGCACCCCTACCACGCGATGCAGGCCCAGCGTGCCAGGGTGCTGGCTCGAGGTCATGCAGTGGGCCAGTGGGGAGGCCGGCCGCTCTGGGACCCAGGCCTGGGCGACTCTAGAGCGTGTCTTACCCGTCCGCTCACCCGCCCCACACCCTCTGTCACGGGGCAGGGGCTTCGGATCGCGTTTCAGGGTCTGCCTTCCATGTGGCTTCCCTAAAGCAGCTGCGTGGAGACAGTGGTCACTCTGGGTGCTCTGCTCTGCGTGGTGGCTCAGGAGGAGTCGCTCTGCCCCTGGCCGCGCCCCACACACTCCCGCTGCCTGCCCTCTGCCCTCAACCTCTTGCCACTCCCCTGGGAAGTCCCGCGGGGCTCCCCACATCTCTCGCTATGGCTGCCCCGATCGCCCGTCTCAGGCCTCCTCTGTGCCGTGGGCTCCCAGAGCCGCCTGACTGGTGTCCCCCCCTCAGTGCACAGTGCCGCGGTGACTGCCCTCTCCTTCCACCCATCGGGGAACTACCTGGTCACAGCCTCCAGCGACTCGACCCTGAAGATCCTGGACCTCCTGGAGGGCCGGCTGCTCTACACGCTCCACGGGCATCAGGTGAGGGCGTGGCCTGGCACTGCGTGGCATGCACAGGGCAGAGGTGCCGCCTTGAGGCCGTGCAGGGCTGGTCCCCTGCGGCAGCCCTTCCCTTGGACCCCATGGGGGCAGTATCTGTGGCTCCCTCGTGATCTGGGCAGAGACAGGCTTGCCCCCCATAAGACCTGAGGCCTCTAGCAGGAGTGCAGGGCCTGACCCCGGCCCCACAGCTGAGAAGCGGGTGCAGGAGCTAAGTTGGGTAGGGAGTGGGCAGAGAGGCATCTAGATCTGGTTGGCAGACTCCCCCCGGGAGCTGAATGTAGTCTGTCCCCTTGTGACCCCAGACCTCCCTTGGTCCAGTGTTGAGCGGAGCCCTGGGACCCATGCCCTGAGCCACCCCAGGGTCTCCGGGTCCTGCAGACAGCAGGCTTCTG